TTCTTTTGCTCTTCAGTTCCAATGTTTCAGCTCAAGCGTACACAGCACAAAAACACAATTTTCAGCATTGAACAGCGGTCCCTTCAGGTTGTCACATGCCTCTCAGTGCCAAACCACAGGTGCCCTTCTTGAGGTTCAAGTTCATAGAGGGCTCAAAAACTCGTTGAGGTCACGGGTGACTCTTGTTAGATTCATGACTTGGCCTTGCCAGTCTTTGCCCGAGCTTTTGCAGCTTGGATTTCCCCGTGGTACTTTTCCACATCTTTGGCGATGCCCCCCGATAAAGTTCTCCAAGGAGTTGCGGTTGATGGCGGCCTGGGACGGCAGCTCGCCGAGGATGAGAAGCTGGTTCAAGTTCGTGATGTGTTGACTCAAAGTCTTGTAGGCATCCTTGACTCCCGACAACTCCGGCGCACCAACCAGCTTGGAGCCGTCTTTGACCAAACGCTCGCATGCATCTTTCGCCTTCACCGCGAGCTTCTTGACTGACTCCGGAATTTGGCCCTGCTCATCCATTCGTTTCTCGTCCGCCTGATATGTTTTGCGATGAAGCGCATAAGGGCAACCAACATGTAGCTTCCCTTCAAAGGACTGTAGGGCTACGAACCCTGAGAGAACCCTGAGAGGAAGGAGAGAGAGAGAGAGAGGGAGAGACCGTGAGAGGAAACCATGACCATGATAAAATTCACCATGACCATGAGAGGAAAAACCATGAGAGGAAACTGATGAAGAATGTAATCCTTTTAAGAAGTTGCTCATGGAAGCCACCCACCCCTGTTCAAAGTTCACCCGCACCTGTTAAAAGTTGACCCACCCCATGCAAGCCACCCACCTTGCTCAAAGTGAACGTCCATTTGAGCTTGCTCATGGAGTCCGCCAAGGCATGGGCCTGCTCCTTGTTCAGCTTCTTATCTCCCTGGACTTGTTCGCCTGATTCGTTGCCTCGTAGCTCGGTGTGGCTGAACTTTCGGAATTGCAGGTACTCAAGCTTTGACACAGGGTCAATCTTCGACATGAGCTCGCCGTTGTTGATCGCCTGGTTCATCAGGGCCTCATTTCCGTGAAAGTGACTTGCCAACATCAAAGTCATTGGCATGGCCTCAGTCTTGTCCTTGGCGACGTTGGCCTTCCAAACC